GTCATTTCCATTGAGGACCTTGTCAATGCCTACATTTCTTTACTTCAGAAGTTATCAACAGTAAAATGTTCACTGCTTCTTTTTTCCACTCCCCTTTCAACAAACTTTACTTAACATTAAACTAAAAAATCTGTTTAAAAAATATTATCCTGGGGGCACCTGGGTGGCACTATCTGACTCTTTGGCCCAGATCATGATCTAGCCTCACTGACAAAGGGCACCTTTTAAACTCTGGAAAACATTGGCTAATCCAAAAATTACAGCTGTGTCACTTGAAAACAGTGCCACATGCCTGGAATCCTTGCTGCTTAGGAATATTGAATTATTGGGTAAGGCAACATAACATTAATTAATCAGGTATTTGCTCTGATTTAACTGATGAGTAAAGAAAGCTATTGCAATATTATTTTGTCTCCTTTTTTGTGACTGATGAGACAGAAATAGAGTAGCTAAAGGTGCCAAAGGGGGCCCACCAGGCCATTCTGGTTCTGATTCCTTTTATTGTAATAGACCTCTGGATAGTTCATGAAGAGGGAGGAAAGAGAAACCTGTTAGCAGGAGCATTGGTTGTAATCTGTGTTTTTGATGATCAATGGCAGAATCCTAAAATTACACCCAAATATCACTCCCAGGTTCTAAAATTGAGTTTCTGAAAAAGCACCATAGTAGTAATAGAAGTAAAGAGCAGAGTTCCAGAGAAATGAGCTGTGAATTGAACCTGCAATGGAAATTGATCCTACCAGTCAGTTTCTGCCCTTATTCATAGGAAAACAGGACTGAGTGTAGAAGAAGCCAGGATCACTGATTAAATAGGATGCTAAAGTGCCAGAGGCTAGAACTGGGCTTGCTGGTCCCTCAGGTCAGTACTGTGACTGTCAGACTTCTCTGTGGGAAACCTGGCTGGAACTGGCAGAAACAGAACAGAATGAAAAATGCTGCCACCAGCCCAGGAAGCAGTAAGAACTCCCTGACTAAGCTTCAGGTGCGACAAGCCATTGTGCTCCTTAGGGAGGCCGTTCTAGTCTCTTGTCATGAGTCAGTGGGCCCAAACTGGGCTGGCTGGCCTCATGATTCATGCCAGTGGGGCCTGTCATGAGACCTATTCCAGTGAGGGCCGAGGGTATGAGTGTGAAGACAAATGGCCTTGGAAGCCACTCATATCCTCAGTAGCATCTCTAGGATTCTGAGGAGAAAGAAGCAAATATGTGACAACGAGTGGCCCTGTGAATATAATTAATTACCCTGTTATCTAACCCTAAGAGATTTATTTTGTGCACATATAATGGTAGTAATATATTCCAAGTTTTTTTGGCAGTGCTCTCATTCTGCTCCTAGAAATGCAGTATGAGTTGTAATTAGCCGACTGAAATTACACATTTCTGGTTATGAAGTTGCCATTTATTGCCTCCAGTGTGATATATTTCTACAACAATGCCCTTCAAAGTCTGCAGAGATCATCAGTATAACTCACTAGAGTAAATGTCCCTATGGAATGCCTCATTCACACTTAGCAGCATGCTAATAGAAATGGTTCCAGCAGAAATACTGAAGATAGAGGTACTATAAAACACTAACTTAAGATGTAACCATTATAAACCATTTCTGGATCAGAGCTCTATTTGCAGAATAGCAAAAGAGAAGAAAAAAAGCAATGAAATCAGGCCATTTGCTTGGGATGAGTTGAAAGGATTTTCAGATTCCCTGAGTCATTGGACTTAGCCTGTTAACACGACCCTCAAAAGAGGATGTTATCACAGGTACTTAGCAGTTCACGGCATTCAATTGTTATCAGACGTCATTTTCCCATCGCGCTTAACTAATTCTTCCTTTCTGGCCCTGGCAAGAGAAATGACAGCTCTCCATCTAAGGTAGACTGTGCTGCCTGTGTCGTGGTATTGATTCAGCTTCTCTCTTAAGCTTTTGACCAATGGAAGAAGTCATGGAATGATTGGGATAAAATGATAGTCAAAGTGGTTTTCATCCCTGCCCCTTGCTGATATGATTTGACTCTGCCATTTTGGTATGGACATAGTAGGAGACACAACAGCACTATACCCTAGGCAAAGGCCCACAAAGAACATAAATGGAGATACTCTGTTTATAACAGTTTCTGTAAGATATTTTGTTTTGGTTAGCCAGGATCTTGAAGATGCAAGCCAGTGAGCACAAGCCTCTTTTCATCTAAGATTTAGACCTCATACAGCCTCTATCTCTAGTCTGCTAATTACCACTCTTGACAGTAGGGACTCTGGAAACTCGGTCATAGATATGGTTGTTTCATGCTATGCTTAACTATTTTACTTGGCAAATTTATATAAAGTTTGAAACAATTTTACCATGGTAGAATTTTTAGAGGTATTAACAGAGAGGGATCTAGCATGCATTTCAAGAAAACTTGAACAGTAAACAGAACTCTTGGTTTTTTAATCCTGGAACTTCATTCATGTGTGTATTTTCTTGACTAAGAAGGACTGAATTGATGCAGGCTTATTTATGCAGTAGAAAGTAGTTTTCTATGGAAATTAAGTTAGAAAGCATTGTTTAAACTAATATCTGAAACATTTAGTCATTTTATTAGTAAGTAAAATTGATGAAAACCTTGGGAAAATGCTTTAGAACACTTCTAATGGATACCTGTGATATTAACCTGTGTTAATAAGGAAAGTAGCAAAGAGATGCATGTAAATCTGTTTTTGTATAAGGGATCTGGAGCTTATTAAAATTTTTTGTAGGGCGCCTGGGTGGCTCAGATGGTTGGGCGTCTGCCTTCGGCTCAGGTCATGATCTCAGGGTCCTGGGATCGAGTCCCGCATCGGGCTCCCTGCTCCTTGGGAGCCTGCTTCTCCCTCTGCCTCTCTCTCTCTCTCTCTCTCTCATGAATAAATAAATAAAAATTAAAAAAAAAATTTTTGTAAACATTCAACTAATGAAGCATTATATAAAATTAGACATTTCCTTTACATTGTAAAAAGTCACTAGACTCGAAAAACAACCCTTCAAGTTATTTCTAAATAACTTATTTATGATATTTCTCCTAACACTAGTAATTTACATATAAAAAATTGATTTAGTAGTAAGGAACATTCCATGGGAATGCCACTCAAAATGCCCTGGGGGAGTTTTTGTCTTACTTGGTTCCTAGACTTATTATAGGATGGAGTAGCATAAATGATCATTATTAACCTCATTTTATGGTTCAAGCAGATATCTGGCAGATAAATCCCATCTTGCATATATAAAACCAAAGCATTATTTCAGCTGAAATGTTTTCATTTGTTGGAGGTCACAGGAAAGGGAGTAGTTCTAGGTTTTCCCTAGGTCCTAAATGATGGAGCAAACAAGGAATTTATGCACAAATGGAAATCAAGAAATGAACTTCAGTAATAGTCCAGACAAATTTCCAGTAGCCACAAAGTATAGGTAGGGCTGTCTACCAAAGCTGAGCTGGGAACATGGCATAGATCCCTCTTCTGTCACATTAGAAAGAGAAGAAGAAAGAGTCTTCACAGCACTTGTGTTCCAAGATTAAATACGTGCAATCTTTATTATATTTTACATTCTTTGGTTATGTTTTAGGTGGAGTTTGGGGTATATTGAACATTCTAATTTCTTTTTATCTGATTTTCTTTTACTTTGGTAGAGACACTGCAGTAGAGAGTTAAAGCAGCATGTCTCATTGTCGGACAGGTATGAATTCATAGCCACAATCCAGCCTTGAACCAAGTTCTTGAACCAACCTAGGCTGCAATTTTTTCATCTATGTATTGGGAAGAATGGTACTTGGTTCACAGGATTGTTTTGAGGAATAGAGACTACATATAAAGCAAGTTACACATAATAAGTGCACACACAGTAAATGGTAGCTATTATTTCTCAAGTTTTCATGCTGACTTTCCCTTACCAATTGTAGATTTCTTTACATTCATGTCTGAGGACCACAATTAAGGAAAACAAAAAATCAGAATATACGGAGTAAGTATATGGGTTTTCCAAAACAGAACATTTAGGATTAGATTCTCCACAAACCCATGAAAGGTAAACTTCTTAGAAAAGTGTATAGCACATAGTAAGTGCTCAGTAAATGCTATGTATTTAGTATTATTGTATTTTCATCATCATTTCATAAAGACATTTAAGCTGTGTATATATTCTTTCTTTTAAATCATTTAAAATACTTACATTCCCTGCGTGTCATTTAAATTTCTAAGCTTGAAACTCTGTATCTGGAGCTTGGGCTCAAGAATAATACTAAGACATTGTCGGGGATAGGAAAGAGCAGTAATTGCATGAAATTCTATACAAATCAAAACTCTGAAAAGGCCTGGAGTCCTGCTCAGAAGTTTATGCTCTCTAATCATTATGTTATTTCATGCTGAATTCTCAAGCTTTTTCTCTTATGTTTTCCAATTACATAATTATAAATTAATTTAAAAAGATAAAATATATTTATCAATGAGCATTAAGATTGGCTTCATGTATCAGAGCCTCAGAGGAAAAGAGCCTTAAATAAAAGCACTGTATTTCTCTCTAATGAAAATTTTGGAAGTAGACAGTTCAGGGATAGTATGGTAACTTGGTGATTATCAGGAACCCTGACTCCTTCATCATTGCTTTGAATGGTTCATGTTTGAGTGCTTCATGGTCCATCATGGCAGCATGAGCAAAAGACATCATATCCTCAATCCACCTAATGGGTAAGAAGAAGGAAAAAAGATGGTGAGCCCTTCTTTTTAAGGACACCTCCCAGAAACTGTTCTTGTTCTCATCTTGTATGCCATTCACCAGAACTTAGGCATATGGCCATATCTCACTGCAGAAGACTCCGAAAATTCTAGTCTGGGTGTTGTTATGCCCAGCTAAGATTTAGGGATTTCATTATCATGGAAGAAGAGGAGACCAGATACTGGGGACAAGGAGGACTATCTGTGACATCTGGGCTTCACCAGAACTCTTATAATTCATTTCTCTTATGTTTTCTTGTTCCTTCTTTTCTATATTAGATCCCATGCGTGGTCCAAGAAAACTGGAAGTGGTAGAAGTCAAATCTCGACAAATCACTATCCGCTGGGAGCCATTTGGATATAACGTAACTCGCTGCCATAGTTATAATCTCACAGTCCACTACTGTTACCAAGTCGGAGGACAGGAGCAAGTGCGAGAAGAAGTAAGCTGGGACACAGATAATTCACACCCTCAACATACGATCACTAACCTTTCACCGTATACCAATGTCAGTGTGAAACTCATCCTCATGAATCCTGAGGGACGGAAGGAAAGTCAAGAACTCATAATACAGACGGATGAAGATTGTGAGTACTTTTAAATGATATGTTTGTACGAAATATATATGCCATCAGAAAAGCAGCTTTTACTTCTTTTAAATTGAGATCTCTGTAATGAAAATGAAGGAACTAGTTACTCTGTTGAATAATATAAATGTGCTTCTGAGAATATAAGCATGGATTTAAAGAGGTAAAGGAAGAAAGATGTAGAAGTTTAATTCCTTATGAGTCATAGAGTTACCTTTCTATATATAATTATTCTATATTGCTCTAAATAGTTCTTCATTCAAGTTTTATTATCATGTTGGACTTAAGAGTTGCTGCTTGGGTATTATTTATATGAAATGCTTATTTAAATATATTGAAATGGTATTCTGAAACATACTTCTAGTTCAGATAAAAATTCAGCACAAAATAGAGGCTGCCCTTGCTTTTCAGCACAGTGCTGAGAAATTACCTCATTAGGTTGGTGGCCGTGTAATAGATAATACTTACCCATAGGAACAATATTATAATTGGATATTACCTCAGTAAACAAGGATTTAACAAATAGACAATGCGTGTTACCAGCAACTCATCAAAAAAAGCAAATACACGATTGCAATAAGCCTCTGAAATAATTTAAAATAGTAAAATTATACATTGAATCCCATAGCATGGATATAGATGAGCTTTTACATTGATTATACAGGGGACATCCACATACAATTACATGTACATATGGCACATAAAATACAGTGGTAGTGCATCATATATTTGACCTACAGTTTATTTGCCGGGCATCAGAATAAGTGGCAAAGAACTTGAGAAGCCCATCAAATGAATATACTTACTTATCCTTGGGAAAAAGAGATGTTACACTTTTTTTTCTTATGCAGCTGATTATGCCATGATCCTTGATTATTGATTATAACACGCACTAAATGTTTACAACAACACTGTATTGTACCATTTAAAGAGCTGACGAAGTATTTTTGAGTGTTTATTACCCATATGACACATTCATTTTGCTGTGGAAGGAAAACGTGGGAACAGCTAAGGTAAATGAGGAGCTCACCCTACAGATTTCTCTTCTCTTTTCTGTAGCCCCACAACCTACCTGTGCTGGTTGCTCTCAAATAGTTGTCTGATTGCAGTTATTTTTGTAAGGAGTATTAGTTTGCTACAGGTCACCCAATCAGGCTGTGCTAGAAGCCCTGTCTGTGTTTCTTCCAGTTCTTCTTCATGTCTCCGAAAAGTGAGAAGAGAGTGCCAACATTGTCAGTGGGTCACCTCTGACTCTTTCCCCCCTGCATCCCACATTTCTCTGCTTCCTTTGGTTCTAACTCCTGCTGTTTCTACTCCCAAAATTTTAGAGTGTGCTTTTCTCTCAATTTCCACTACCTATATCCAGATCCTCATTATTTCATGCTGAAATTTCTCACCTTCCTTGGTGGTTCCAGCCTTACCCCATTTTAATGTTGCCTACTCACCCACAAAATGAATCTGTAAAATACAATTGCATCTCTATGGTGTTGGTTGTTAGTTCTCCTCCTTCGTTTCTGATTTTATTTATTTGAGTCCTCTCTCTTTGACATCAGTTATAGAAACATTTTTCTAGGTATGTCTCCTCTGGCAAGGGAAATAAAAGCAAAATTAAACTTTGGGGACTACATCAAAATAGAAAACTTCTGCACAACAAAGGAAACAATAAAAAAAGGCAACCTACTGAATGGGGGGGGGAGATATTTGCAAATGATATATCTGATAAGGGGTTAATATTCAAAATATATAAAGAACTTATACTACTCAGTACCAAGAAAAGAAATAATCCAGTTAAGAAATGGGCAAAAGACCTGAATAGATATTTTTCCAAAGAAGACGTCCAGATGGCCAACAGACACATGAAAAGATGCTCAATATCACTCATCATCAGGGAAATGCAAATTAAAAACTACAATGAGGTATCACCTCACACCTGTCAGAATGGCTAAAATCTAAAACACAAGAAACAAGTGTTGGTGAGGATTTAAAGAAAAAGGAACCCTCGTGCACTGTTGGTGGGAGTATAAATTGATGCAGCCACTGTGGAAAACAGCATGGAAGCTCCTCAAGACATTAAAAATAGAATTACTGTAAGATGCAGTTATTCTACTACTGAGTATTTACCCCCAAAAATGAAAACACTAATTCAAAAAGATATGTGCACCCCTACTTTTATTGCAGCATTATTTATAATAATCAAGATATGGAAGCAACCCAAGTGTCCACTTATAGGTGGATAATATATGGAATATTACTCAGCTGTAAAATAGAATGAAATCTTGCCACATGGCATGGCTGGGCATAGAGGGTGTAATGTGAAGTGAAATAAGTTAGAGAAAAACAAACACCATATATCATTCATATGTGGAATTTAAGAAACAAACAAATGAACAAAAGAAGAAAAAAGAGACAAACCATAAAACAGACTCTTAAATACAGAGAACAGGGGTGCCTGGGTGGTTCAGTCATTAGGCGTCTGCCTTCAGCTCAGGTCATGATCCCCGGGGTCCTGGGATTGAGCCCCACATCGGGCTCCCTGCTCCGTGGGAGGCCTGCTTCTCCCTCTCCCACTCCCCCTGCTTGTGTTCCCTCTCTTGCTGTGTCTCTCTCTGTCAAATAAATAAATAAAATATCTTTAAAAAATAAATAAATAAATACAGAGAACAAAATGGTGGTCACCAGAGGGGAGCTGGGTGGAGGGATGGGTGAAATAGATAAAAGGGATTAAAAGTACACTTACCCTGATGAGCACCAGGAAATGTATATGGAATTGTTGAATCATTGTATTGTTCCCCTAAAACTAATATAACACTGTAAGTTAGTTCTACTTGAATTTAAGCAAAATTTAACAATAAAATAAAATACATCTGCATTGTGTCGCTCTCTCCACAGAGCTTTCAATTACTTAATTTAAATTTTGACTTTCAAGGTTTTCTGTATTCCTGGCTCATTCTCTAGAACTAGTGACTTTTCCTCCAGTGCATTTCATTCTGCAAAGATGTCACCCCAACGTCAGTGCCATAGGCCATGCTCCTTCCATTCCAGGCTCTTCCTCAAGGTCTGCTCTCCTCTGCCTCCTGCCTTCCACCTGGCTGCCTCTCACTTCCATCTCCTCTGCTGCCCTTCAAAGAGCTCCTCAGCCTTCAGGTCCTTCAGAGAGCTGCCTCCAACTCTTAAATCCTTCGACCTCCTTTGTAGCTGATTAGAATCTTTAAATCTCTGGGCTTTAGTTCCGTCATCTGAGAAGTGAGAATAGTAACAGTTCTCAACCATATTAGAGTTAGAGGAAATTTACATAGAGAGCTCTTTGTAGTGATGGGGGTGGGGGGGCTCTAATAAGTGGTCAGTATTATTGTTGTAATGATTCAAAGCAACTCACTGTGACCTTTCCTTGATCTGTCTCTATTACATATAATCTTTTTTCTCTTAACTATAAACTAGAGAGAAGAAGCCTTCTATTCCTCTGTAACACTAGGCATCATACTGAGTAGGTAATAAAACACTCAAAAGTATTCTTTTAGTCCTTAGATAAAACAATAAAGTTTGTTGATAATCATTCATGTTTTAATCAACAGTAATGTTTTAATCAATGAGAGGGGGAGATGACATGTAGTCGTTTCTAGAGATGAGCGAGTATGTCTTGCTCACAAACCCACATGCATAAACCCCTTCACCACTTTTGGGTTTCAAATTGAGAAAGGAATGAGCTAGGAGTTCTGTTAAGTTCTGTCAAAACATGAGATCAGAATAACTTATCTTTTGGTTTGTTTAAATTGTCTTGCTAGTCCCAGAAGTTGGAGCGTGCATGACTTCCAAATAAAAACCTATTGTTTTCCCCAATGTCTGTGGTGAGTGCTGTGAATTGTGTAAGACTGTTGAATCACAGACCTGTACCTCTGAAACAAATAATACATTATATGTTAAAAAAAAAAAAAAGAAGAAGAAGATAGTAGGAAGGGAAAAATGAAGGGGGCGAAATTGGAGAGGGAGACGAACCATGAGAGACTATGGACTCTGAGAAACAAACTGAAGGTTCTAGAGGGGAGCAAGGGTGGGGGGATGGGTTAGCCGGGTGATGGGTATTAAAGAGGGCATGTACTGAATGGAGCACTGGGTGTTTTATGCAAACAATGAATCATGAAACACTACATCAAAAACTAATGATGTATAGGGATTAACATAATAAAAAATATAAATAAATAAATAAATAAATAAATAAATAAATAAATAAAACAAAACAAAAAACCCCAAAAAACAAAGAAGGCTATAATGATAATGAGATAGAAATGACTTGAATAAACAAACAGAACAGCTTCCAAGGGTAGAGGATTTTCAAATTGTAGATCTTGTTTTCTGTCTCAGCAAAAAATATATATATATATTTTTTGTCAAAGTTATAAATAGGTTTAGTGTTTTTCAAAGAAGTACGTATTTTGCTTCAAGCTTTTTCTTCATTTGAAAATAGTTCATTAAAATCTCTTTGGCTCAATTCCAAAAAAAACCCCCCAAAACCTATTGTTTTCATTGCACACTGGCATCCAGTGAATTAGAAGAACTTTTATTTCAAAGTATATTTCCTAACAACAACAACAACAACAAAGTCTTCAAAAAGAGAGAAAAGAAAGACAAAAATAGAATAATTGTCAATACCGAGTTTGAAGAGAAAAGAATGATGGAGTCACTTTATGTATCTACCATTATAAAAGGCTATAATTCATTGAACATTGAGTTTTACTATGGTATAATATTTCTATTGAATATTGTTTTTTTTTTTCATGAGAAATGTGTGGAAAAAATTGTCTTTTTATTACTGTTAAAGGTATCACAAGAAAGAATAGGGCTCAATTCCACAAACTTAGAAACTAAAGCTTATCAGGGTGCCTGGGTAGCTCAGTCGGTTAAGCATCTGACTCTTGATTTCAGCTCAGGTCATGATCTCAGGGTCATGAGATTGAGGCCTGTGTTGGGCTCCGTGCTCATCAGGGAGTCTGCTTGAGATTCTATCCCTCTTCCTCTGGCCCTTCCCCTCTGCATGCATTCTCTCTCTCTCTAAAATAAATAAATCTTTAAAAAAATGGTAAAGAAACTAAAGCTTATCTGTCCCAGATACTGAATTTCTAAGAATTTCTAAAAATAGGTAGTAGACCTAAGTTCCTTTGAGGTACTATTATCCCTAATTTATTTAACTCTTCTAGTATTTTATTTTAGTTTACTTTGTCTGCTCCTGCATATATATATATATATATATATATATATATATATATATATATAGCCATACCCCAGTTAGGTTTTCTTGTTAACGTTTCCACAGGGCTATCAATTACAGGATCTCCAAGGACATTTTAATGTTTACCCTTATAAGATGACCTCTGTTCAACATAATTTTGACTGTTTCCCATTTTATTTCACTATGATTTAGAGTAACTGAATGAAATCAAAGATACATTTTTTCTGTCTTTACCTCTTTACATCTGCACAAAGATTAATAAGTATTTTCAATTAGTAAATATCATCTCAAAATAATAGAGCCACTCATATTTATCTTGCTACTGTGAGAAAACTGATGGTGATATCATAATAAACACTTTCAAGCTCAAGAGGAAAAGACTAGAGTTTTCTCTGGCATGGCCAATTTTAGTTCAGCTTCTGACTGATGAATATTTCCATCTCAGACCCTGGAATCTGAATTTTCTTAGAACTCATCAGTGTTATAACTTCATATATACCTTGGTTTTCTTCACTTTATGTAGTTTCGTATCAATTCCTTCAGCTTAAGATAAAACAATTATTTTCATATTTATGTATTATTTAGAGTTTGGATGGTAAAGATGAACTTAATCCAAGTTCCTCATTTTAAATATGAGGCAACTGAGACCCAAGGAAGTTCAGTGAATTGCCCAAACTACACAGTTTAATTACTGTGAAGTCTTAAATCAGAACCCAGGCCTCCCATCGGAATCAGTAATTTTTTTTCTGCCAAGCAGTACTGAGCTCTATTCAAAATAACTATAAAATCTTACATCTACCAGTAGCCCCTCAACTAAAAAAATGTGTACTACCTGTGAGTATCCTTTTGCAATTCTAGGCACTCTTTCCAGCCTATGGAGATCTTACCAACCCTTAAAGGACTATTCGTATCGTCCCACAATCTAAAAATTCTCCAATTCCCTTTTCTAAATTTATTGAGATATGTTTATCCATTCATGATTTGAACATTTGTGTTGTTTCCACTTTGGGGCTATTATTAAAATGCTTATATTAATATTCATATATAATTTTATATTAGTATTTGTGTAGAATTTTGAGTAGTATATGTTTTCGATTCTCTTAGGTATGTACCTAGGAGTGGAATTCACATGGTAAATTTATCAATGTGTATCTATTTGGAGAGCTGCTAGACTGTTTTCATAGGAGCTGTAGGATTTTTATATTCCCTCCAACAGTGTATGAGGGTTTCAGTTCTCCACATTCTCACTGGTACTTATTATCGGCCTTTGGACTATGGCCATTTTAGGGGTGTGAAGTGCTATCTCACTGTGGTTTTGATTTGCATTTTCCCGCTAGGTGGATATGTTGAACATCTTTTCATGTGCTTATTGGCCATTTGTTTATCTTTTTTTGGAGAACTGTTTATACAGAACCTTTGCCTATTTTTAATTGGATTATTTGTTTTCTTATTGGGTTTTTGTAATTCTTTATGTATTTAAGATATCTCTTATGAGATATATGATTTGCAAAACTTTTCTCCTATTCTTTGTGTTATCTTTTCACTTTCTTGATAGTGCCCTTTGAAGTGCAAAGCTTTTCATTTTGATGATGTACAGTTTACCTGTATTTTTTTTGTTACTGCTTTTGCTTTTGGTGTCATGTCTAAGAAACTATTGCCTAATCCAAGGTCATGAAGGTTCACACCTATGTTTTATTCTGAGTTTTGTAGTTTTAGCTCTTACGTTTAGCTCTTAAATCAATTTTGATATAAACTTATATGGCGTGAGGTAAGAATCCAACTTCGTTTTTTCACATGTGGATATCCAGTTGTCCCAGCACCATTTGTTGAAAAGATTATCATCTCCCCATTAAATTTTCCTGGCCCCTTAATGAAAATCAATTGACTGCAAATGTAGGTTGTACTCTCAATTCTGCTACACTAATCTGTATGTTTATCTCTATGTCAACACCACACTGTCTTGATACTGTAGCTTCGTAGTAAGTTTTGAGAAGTGTGAGTCCTCTCCAACTACTTCTTGATTATCCACACCGTCACCGAGAAATTTGATCATGTACCTTCAAATATATGTATAAACACTACAGATATACTAGTTTTTAAATAGAATAGACACGCTAATACACTAAATTGTGTATGATATAATACATATGCAAAAACTGAGTTTACGTGAAAATGAGATTAAACAATACTTTTAAAATAACACTAAATGTTATTTTATAGAAAATTAGCAGGTAAATTTCCACCTTCCCTTATGTCAGATTTATTTGAAAACTAGTCAAAAGGTGTTGCATATTTCAGGTTTTTAAAAACTGGCATAAAAATTCCCAAAGTCTTTTGTATCATTAATAAATAAAATAATTTTAAAAATATTTATTATTACATATTATCTCATCTATATCACATCTTTTTAGAACATCTATTTTGTGTGTATTTTTAACATATATTAAATATCAGTACAATAGTTCATATCCATTTTTCCTTCACATAATTTTGTCACTCAATATTATAACTCTAAAATATATAAAAACATAAAATTCATCCATGATAATGTATATAGCTGTCATTTATACTCAGTCTTTTGTGTGTTATATTGTGACTATAACAATTTATTAAACCATTCAGTTTGTCCCCAAATTATTATTTTTATTAAAAAATGCTATGTTGACATCTTACTATATGTCTCCTGGTACATACATGCAAGAATATTACTAGGAAATATACCTGGAGGTAGGATTATTGGCTCATATGATACATGCCTCTTTAGCTTTACTAAATACTACCAAATTATTTTCCAAAGTGGCTGTACCCATTTCTGCTCCCACAAGCAATGTGTGGGCATTCTTATTGCTCTATATCTTTATTTCTGAAGAACGTAAAAGTTCATTTAAAAGGTGATTACTGAGCTTCTTCTAATTGATTCGAACTTTGAAGAAAAATGTGATGAGATTATTTTCTTTATAAGGACAGTGTAGCCAAAGTGGTTTTTTTCTTTCTTTATTTTATAATTTTATTTTATTTTATTATGTTATGTTAGTCACCATACAGAACATCATTAGTTTTTGATGTAGTGTTCCATGATTCATTGTTTTTGTATAACACCCAGTGCTCCATGCCGAAATGGTTTTAAATATCAGATTTTTTAGAAGAAAACTGAGTTTGTCTATGGACTATTAAATCTTATGTCTCAATTGAGAGTGAAAAACCTAACATGTCTAGAAAAATCTAATTTGGGCCGGGTCTCTCAAACATTTCTTGATTTTTTTTTTTTTTCCCTTCTAGTGCCAGGTGCTGTTCCTACTGAATCCATCCAAGGAAGTACTTTTGAAGAGAAGATATTTCTTCAGTGGCGAGAACCAATTCAAACATATGGTGTCATCACTTTATATGAGGTAGTGTATACATTTATTAGTGATTTAATTTTTCATTATAATTTCTGTGATAGCTAGACCTGCTAGTATTTAAAAATGCATAATGGCTTCATGTCTTCTATGAAGTTTAATGCCTGTGATAGTTAACAATGGTTACTGCATAGAAGCAAAAAAAAAAAAACCCTGAGTTTTTCAATTATGTATCATTTCAGGATATATATTTATAATGATTTGGATGTTTCTAGACTATATGTTATTATATGTAAAGACAAAACATAGTATTAAAAAAAATCACTTTTACTAAAAATAAGTATTTTGAAGTGTACATTGATTAGGAGGCAACCACATGATCCTATTCTTGCTAGCTATAAAATAATTTACTACTGAATTATAGAAGAACGCTGATTATCCAATTAGCAAAGTCAATAGACATTGTCTCAGGGGTAACAATAGAAAAATGTCTTTTGGTTTCTTAGTATTAGCCCAAAACATCCTTTAGACTTCCTTGACTAGTTTTGTCTACTGAGCCATATCAAATGGTTGAGTGATAGAGAGCAGAGAAGAATTTGATGAATTGTTTGAGGAAAAAAATAACAGCAGTAACAGGGGGTGACAGTCATCATCACATCTGTATGAGCATCATTTCACTGTGCCTATTGTCATAGAAACAAGCAGGTGCATTTTTTTTAAGCAAGCATTTATTTGAATGCAAATTTAACAAAATTATATGTTGTTAGGTTTCTAAAAATCACGGCAATTCCTCCTATGGAACCTCTGCTTGAATACCTTTCAGAACCACTGACAAAAGCCTGAGCAGATTAGCTGTCAGACAGTAATCACCAGTAAACCCCCTCCCTGACCCAACTAGCCTCACATTTATATTTCCTTATACCTTTTGAAAATTGGTATTGAAATGCAAAAAATAATGTTTTTAATTGAAAGCTAAACAAAGTAAGAGAAAAGAGAAAAAAGTTGATTTTCATGTTAAGTTATTGGTGCTGTTCATTGGGCTGCTTCATTATAAAAGAATTCAGTGTTATGAAAATCTGTGGCTCAGCTTTGAAAGAGCTAAGTGTTATCATCAAACAAGTTCATATTTTTTCTCAGTGATCAGAATTTTTAGTTAATATTGTTGGGCCCAAGACCATTTTCTGGTCTCACTTTTGGAGATTCCTACCTAAGAATAACAGAATATTTTACTAGAAAAAATAACAGCCTTTGAACCAGTGTTAAGTTCCAAGAAATAAGTCCATCTGTCCTAAAAACCACATGTTGATATCTAGACAGACAGAAATAATAGCTAGATTCATTCTTCTTGATGCCGCTGAATACACATCTTTGTGTAATAAGTAACTTTAGCGTGAAAACAATAGGAATAATAATTCAAAAGGAGAATCCATTAATCTCCGTGAATTCAGCAGCCAGGGTCTCCCATTGAACACTGATCTAAATGCTGTTATAATTGGGGATACCTGAATGTGCCATAAATCAGGGTTTTAGAAATCAGATATAGGTAAGTAGAGTAGGTTGGTTTATTTTTCTAGGTACCAAAGGGAAAATGTTAAATGTGTGAATCAGGCTTCACTGATTAAATACAAGTTTTCTGGCCACCAGATCTTTCTCTTTCCCCCATGTTTTCCAGAAGTAGGAAGGGGGGTTTCTGTTCTCAAAATAGGCCTTAGGTGGGGTCTCAGGACGGAGTTCTTCTTCAGCTACGATGCACTGTATGCTGTGCCCAGCCTGTGTGAGAGTCAGTGATAGGCACAGCTTCCTCCTGGAGCCAAGGACCCATGTTCAGCCCAACTTGGTCCCCTCCGGAGGACCACAGTCTGTGGGTACTGATATCACGCTAAGGAAATAGAACAGTTGCCCCCTCAAAAAAAGCAGGAACCTTAGGGACAGTATGTTCTTTCATAGAAACACACTTGATTATAGGTAAAAACTGGAAGGTGAGGTAAATTATCGTGATTGGAGAAAAACTTAGTAACAAATGATACAGGTGTTTCTTTAGGGCCGGGAGCACAGTTGGATCATTTTTGCAGGAGAGAAGAGAAAACAGGTAGAATGCTGTAGATGTTGTAAATGAATATGCTATGGGTTCAGGTTATTTTCAGTTTCTCTTTACGTCTTAGGAAATACACCAAACCATCAGTGATTGGACAATGCTGACATCATCGTTTTCTGCCAGGAGTCATGGCAGTTGATAGCACTAAAGCATTCTTCTGATCTTAGTCTTTGCCTCTCCTTTTCATTCCCCTAACAACCATCTTCAGCCTTCTTGAACTAGCCTTTCCTTCCTGCTCTCCCCACCTTTTTTCAGGTTCTAGCCCTTCCTGTCCCTTTACTTCTCGATCAGCCCTTTATTTTTATCAGAGTCATTTGCCTAAAACCTAGACTGATAAATACAGCCTTCCTCAACAGCGATCAAAATTTTTATTTTATTAAAATAGAAATGTAATATCGCTCTCTGAAAGAATATTTTAAGTACAGAAGTATTCAAAATAATATCCTTGCTTCCCAGTTTCACTTTTCAGAGGTAACAACTGTTAACAACTGGGTGCATGACCTTCCAAAATTTTATAAGGTAGAAATTATAGTGCAAGTTCATTTATGAATAGAGATCGATAAAATTTAATAAATATTAGCAAACCCAGCATTTTTTACAAGAATAAGATGCCATTAAGACACCTACCTCACATCATTAAAAAAAAAAAAAAAAGGATTCATGTTCTAAACACAAAAGTTAAAACTACCAGAACACTATAAGAAAAATAAGGTAGGTATTTCTGTAATGTATCTTACTAAGCTTGACATAAAATTATATTTGAAAGTTATATTTTAAAAGATTGACAGATTTACTTATATAAGAATTTAAACTTCTGAACAACAAAAGATAGCAGTAGGAAAGTCTAAATACAGACAGAAGATTTGAGGAAATTATTTTCAAAATTTATAACAGTAGATGGGTTGTTGGCCACAATAAGCAGACTTGATAGAGATTGCTAAGAAATGGACAAAGCATTCCATTAGAAAAACTAGACAAAGAATAAGAGGAGGCAATTCAAAGAAAAAAAAAAATCCAAGTAGCATTTAAGCACGTGAAGAGATACCTATCCTACCTTACTAATGATTCAGAAATGAAATAAAGCAAGTGCTACAAAAAGTTTAAGTTTGTGTAATATCAAGTGTTAAACAATGACATGGGGAAATGCATGTGTGTATAGACTGTTGATGGGAACATACATTTTGCATCTTTTATGTAGGCAATTTGGGGGATCCTATCAAAATTTAAACATTGCATATCAAGCCTATTTCTAGAAGTTTATCAGTCAGTAATACTCCCAAATACAGAGGGTTATTATATGTCCAAGTGTTTTCATTGGCTCTTGATTGCCTAGTAAATAAACTCCAGACTCCTGGTCATGTTCCCAACAACAAGCTTTGGGAACAAAAAGAAAAAAAGAAAGAAAGAAAAAAAATATATATATATATAAAAGAGAGAGAGAAAGAGGCAAACCAGGAAAGAGGCTCTTAACTATAGAGAACAAACTGATAGTTACCAGAAGGGAGTTGGGTAGAGGATGGATTAAATAGCTGATGGGGATTAAGGAGTACACTTGTCATCATGAGCACTGGGTGATGTATGGAAGTGTTGAATCACTCTATTGTACACCTGAAACTCATATTACCCTGTATGTTCACTAACTGGAATTTAAATAAAAACTGTGTGTGTTTGTATATAGAGAGAGAGAGAGAAAAGAGAGAGAGAGAGAGTGTGTGTGTGTGTGTAAGGTAGTGGGAGAAGACAGAAGTATAAAAGATACTGTCCCTTCTCTATTAGAAGTAACAGTCCTAACAGCAACTAGCAGTAGAATGAAATAAGTACCAAAAGCAAATCACTTTAATGTGTGAGGAATATAAAGTGCAGTGTCGTGTGGGCACGTAGCAAAGTCGAATGGTCTGGATTTGTCAACTCATGGGGGCATTCAACAGTTGAAGACACCTCAAGATCCCAGGCCTGGATAACTGGGCTTAACTAATCACTACTGACTGAGATAGGTAAGAGTGTAGAAAGAAGTAGAATTTAAGGTCCATGTCAAGAAGTTTCATTTCATTATTCAAGGCCTGCCATGATCTAATTCCAATTCTCATTTATTACTGCATCTCCCACTATTTTTCTCCTGGAATTTAATGAGCTTACATATATGGAATTTTCTTTTCTCTGAAAACCTTCTGAACGATCACACCACCTGCTTTTGCTTATTTCCTTCTTTCCTCCTGATGCTCTCCCCTCCTCTCTCCTCCTGTGGGACTTCTGCTTCTCTTTCAGTTTTTCATCCAAATATTGTACTGTTCTCTGAAGTATCCTAGATTCTTTCCTCCCCGGAAATCAGATTTTATTATTCCTTCTTCCAATTGCGTGGCTCTCCATTAAAGGACTGTATTTAACACTGGCTGAAATTCCAATCAACTCACACTCCCTAGAGGATTTTTAATCCCCTCCTGGCCAAAAATTGCATGTTTTTCTATTTTTGGTCCTCTATGAATCTTTTAGTTCAGAACTTGAGACTGTAAGTAGAGGAGGGGAAGGTAATTGGAGATAATTTTAGGCACCTACGTATGAATCAGAAATCATCCAATATTGACCCCATCTTACCTAAATGTGGCCCCCGCTTATGTAGGTTGCATGTCAGTTCACTTTTGACTTGGGACATCCCATAAAACTGCAAACTCCAACGTGGAACGTCAGTGTTCTTTTTATTTTTAAGATTTTATTTATTTATTTGAGAGAGATAGAAAGAGAGCACAAGTGGGGGGTGAGAAGGGGCAGAGGGAGAGGGAGAAGTAGACTCCCCATTAAGCAGGGAGCCCAATGTGGGACTCGATCCCAGGGCTCTGGGATCATGACCTGAGGCGAAGGCAGACACTTAAGGACTGAGCCACCCCAGCGCCCCGTCAGTGTTCTTCATGTAGGCTGCATCAAAATTGCCTTGGCCCTCAGCCAGAGATACACTGCAAGCATGGAAGCAGTCCCAAACTTTCCTTCTGGGAGTTTCCTGCTGCTTTACTACAGCCTGGCACTTAATAGGCTCTTAATAAACATGCATTGAATGAACAAATGAAAAAATAAATGCCAAAAGGACATGGTACATTTGGGTGTGAGCGTAGAGGTGTTTTTCAGTGTCCTTTAGAACAACTGCTCAGATACATATAGATGGAGCATCCACTCTCCGAAGGGCAGTGGATTCTAGAGTGGATTGCTCCTATTCCTGAGGAGCTGGGTTTTTTATTCCTGGTATTCCAACTCCCAGGTCTCTGGATGGCTTTGACAGGGATCAGTGACTTTTCTGACATTTTGTGTCTGCATCTATACAACACACTTGCTTGTTAGGGATTTGTTAGAAGTGAGGGAGAGGAGGGGCGCTTGGGTAGCTCAGTCGCTTGAGTGTCCAACTCTTGGTGTGACTCAGGTCATGATCTCAGGGTTGTGAGATTGAGCTCCACATCCAGCTTCGTGCTCAGCATGGAGTCTGCTTGAGATTCTCTCTCTCTCCCTCTGTCCCTTTCCCCACCCCCACTCACTCTCACACTCTCTCTCTCAAATAAAATCTTTAAAAAATAGTGAGGAAGGGGCATCTGGGTGACTCAGTTGGTTAAGTGTCTGCCTTCAGCTCAGGTCATGATCCCAGGGTCCTGGGATCGAGCCCCGCATCGGGCTCCCTGCTCAGTGGGAGCCTGCTTCTCCCTCTGCCTCTGTGCTCTCATTCTTCCTCTGTGCTCTCTCTCTCTCGATCTTGCTCTATCTCAAGTAAATAAATAAAATCTTAAAAAAAAAAATCATGAGGAAAAGAGTCCATAATTTTTAAAAGCGCATGCATTAGTGTATATGTGCATTTTTATGGGTCTGGGAGAGAGGATCTGTTGATTAGCAAATTCTTAGAGGGCTGTGGCTGAAAGACCCGTGACGGAGCCCCCGTCTAGCTTATCCGGCATGACCATGGCAATAGATGAATACCAACCCATCCGCCCCCGTGGAGCAACAGGTCCTTTGCTCAAGCATTTGCTTTCTGCTCTATAGTCAGTGCAGGTGCAGCAACATCCTACTTGCCGTGGTGTGAGCATTTGTGTAAGCACATGTGCACACCTCTTCTTCCTGGGAGCCTTTTGGGGAAAATATATACTGAGTGCCAAATATGTACTGATCACTGTGGGATCAGAAAGAAGAGTAAGACGTCATTCACTCCTCAGAAAGAAGACAAAATTATGTGAAAAGTTCCACATCCTTTGGCATATTGAAACGATGATTTAAGACTACGAGAGAGGGGCTCCTGGGTGGCTCAGTCAGTTAAGCGTCTGCCTTCGGCTCAGGTCATGATCCCAGGGTCCTGGGATCGAGTCCCACATCGGACCCCACATTGGGCTCCCTGCTCATTGGGGAGCCTGTTTCTCCCTCTCCCACTCCCCCCTGCTTGCGTTCCTTCTCTTGCTATGTCTCTCTGTCAAATAAATAAATAAACTCTTAAAAAAAAAAAAAAGACTACGCGAGAGCTTTCACAGCGTGATGATGTATCACCAAATGAACTGTATGAACTCAGTCATGACATTGGGCGTTCAGCTGAGCCAGTGATCATTGGGCCACATTTTGGAAGCTTTACAGAGAAGTAAAATGGGAACTCTGGCTTCAGATATGGGCGGACGGACATGTTTTGTTCCAATCTCACCTGAACTCCTGGCATCTTTGAAAGCATTTCCTTCTTCAGACACTTCTTTCCTTTTCTTTCTTTTGATTTCCATGACAGCTTTCTCTATTGGCTTTTCTGGCTTGTTTGTTGGTATCTCCTCCTCCACCACTGATTATATTAAATGTCACTGTTCTCTCTGAAATCGTTTCCCCAGTGACTTCATCCATTCCTAAACCATAATATTTCAATGCCGATCACCCCCACATCTCTATTTCTTGGCCATACGTCTCAAATCCCAGCTTGATACCATGCACCCTGTGTCCACAAGCCAGCAGTTCATTTCCCCTCATTCATTCCATCCCACTCAGTAAGTGGGGCCATCTTTTGTTTAAGCCCCAAACGTGGAACCTATCCTTGATTCCTCCATCTTTTCCCCCATATTCAATTGATCACCGACTTCTGTCCATTTTAACTCTCAAATATGCCAGTTCTTTTCATTTACTTCTCTCTTCACGATGCTAACCTTAGTCCCAACATGGCACTGTCAGAGGTGCTGAAGGTTCCCTGTGGTCTCTGTGGTAGTTCCCGGTGGCCTCCCTGCCTCCCTTTACTACTTCCATCCAATAAACCACTTCTTCCCCTGGCAGCTAACCTTGGTCTTTTCATAAGGGAAATTAGATAATTTGGTTTTCATACTTCAGAATATTCCAAGGCTCCCCCTTGTACGCATCCATGCTTCTTATCTTAGGGTACAGAGCACTGCATGGTATGGCCCTCACCCACTCCCCAGCCCCTGGTCGAGGGACCACACTTACCTTGCTTGCTGAGCCACAGTCACACAGGCCTTCTTTCTGTCCATTAACCGTGTACAAAACACTCCTGCTTCATGGCCTTGGTTCATGCTGTTCTTTCCCAAACTCTTGGCATGGCTGGCTCTCTCAAAGTTCAAGTCTCCTGAAATTAACTGTCATCCCCTCAGTGGCCCCTTCCACAACCATTCCTGGTGGTCAAGCACGTATCCCTCTCTGCCTACAATATTCTTTGTCTTAGCACTGTGTTTGTTTCATCTACTGAATTTTAGCATTTTAAAATTATTAATTTACTTTCTGCATCTCTCCCAGCTCCACTCACTGCAGTCCAGATTCTTAAATACCTGCGGGCAGGGCCTGTGTCCGCCCACTGACCACAGTGCTCACGGTGTCAGTGTTCACTCCATCAATATTTGAATGGAATGAATGAATCTGAGCAGGGAGAGAAAGCAGGTCACAGATAGTGCTATCACCTTCCAAGCAGGTGAACATTTATGAGCCAAAGCAGTGTCAGAAAAGCCCAGTGTTTGTGGTACAGAAAATCTTTATCCCCTGACCAGGGCAGAAGGTAATATAATGTCACTGTGTTAAGTATTCAGAGATGAGTTTGGAGAAGAAGATGTAGGCAGGTCTTAAACCCAAAGGTAGGAAGTTTGGACTTTGTCTCCTATACAATTGTGTCCCGTTAAAGTTTTTAGTAAGGCAACAAAACAAACAAGGAGCTGTACCTAGCTCTGGTGGGCAGTGCTTGTCCTCATTTACTTAGACTGTATCATAGCTGTTGAATTGCATCTCTACTTCTCCACCAGACTGTTACCTCCTCCAGGACAGGTACCATGTCTCACCCACCATGTGAGATCCCAGCTCAGAGCCCAGTGCTTGGTTCACTGGAGGCATGCGATGAATGTGTTTAGAATGGGTGAATGAATGAGTGAATGAATGAATAAACTTTGGGGAGCAAATGTGCCCTCATAGCTTAGATCTACCCTCTCTGAACCACTGTTTTCTCTAGAAGTGTCAGAACGAGGACTGAGTATACAACTAAGCACACAGTGGTGCCAATGTTGAAGTCCCTCCCAGAGCAGCTGGTGGGGGACACTCTTGACTCAGAGAAACCTTGTGAGGGAAATCGGCTAGAGGGTTAACGACAGATACGCTGCCTAACTCTGAGAGTGGCATGCACTATAGTGATTAGTATATACAGCAAACATTTTCTTGCCAAACTTAGATGATTCAATCTAAATATTCTTTCAGAGAAGTCTCCCTAATTATAATGACATGGTATAAATATAAGAAGAAAGAATGCCAATTATCACTTTGTGTAATAACAGTATTAGTGTTCATGCACATAAATTATAAATAAGTTTACCTATTTAAAAGCAAGAAAAGTGCTCAGTTTTGCAATTTAAAACTTTTGAATATGCCACATTTAAAAATTATGTCATTACAACCAGTAGAAGTTAGTAATCACCTCTAAAATGCGTGTTCGTGAATAGTTGATGAACTACTTATGGTGAAATTCTTTAAAAAAATCATTTGAAAGGGCAAATTTCAAGACACCTATGATATATTTATTTTCACACATTCCAGATGCGTCCAATGTGCTTTAAACCCCTGTTATGTGGCAACATATGAGAGCCTTCTAGAGTGGCATTGCCTGAAATGGCAGCTCCTAGTCATGCACGGTGATTTACATTTAAATTTTAGTTAATGAAAATTAAATAAAATAAAATGCTCAGGTCCTCAGTCTCACTAGCCACATTTCAAGTGCTCTGTCACCACTTGTGGCTGGTGGCTACCATCAGAGTGCAGAATAGAACATTTCCATCATGACAGAAAGTTCTATCGGACAGCATTGCTCCGAAGAAAAGAAGTAAATATGACCTGTCACGAGCACCATGGTCATACCATCAAGAGCTCCTGACACGTGTCTAGGATTTACTGTGAGAGCAGATATCTTTGCCCACATTGGTGAAAACATTTAAAAATGCCCTTGTTTCCAGAAGACAATAATCCTGTTCAGTGCAGAATCAAACTGGCCCTTAGATGAGAGATGAGGCCTTACCCTTGTACGGTCCTTATCTGTTTGAGCTAGTTGTACATTTTGTGATGTTGTTTTAAGCCAACTGTAATGTAGTTTTCCAAAGTGACATTTTGAAAACAAACAACTTCAAGGTATTAGCTTAAACCTGAATTCATCCTTTATGTTCTAATCTACTGGCTTTCAATTCCTCTGTCTATAAAAGTAATAACTCATAGCAGTTTTGGCTGAATCCCTGCACCCCTTCACCGGATCCAGGATTTGAAGAGTATAAGTGAGTAGAGGAGCTTATCATAAAGCATCCGACAGTGCATACATCACAGGGGTTTATTGGATAAAGATGTGATCCCGGTCCACCTGCTTCAGGTATTTTATCGAATTCTTATTCTCTTGCAGATCACCTACAAAGCAGTCAGTTCCTTTGACCCCGAAATAGACTTATCCAATCAAAGTGGAAGAGTTTCAAAACTGGGGAATGAAACCCATTTTCTGTTCTTTGGACTGTATCCAGGGACCACGTACTCCTTCACCATCCGAGCTAGCACAGCTAAGGGGTTTGGACCTCCAGCAACAAATCAGTTCACCACCAAAATATCAGGTATTATACCTTTGTGAGTTATGTCTTTTATCACAGGTAACGTTTTTGTATTTTTCACTGTCAAGGATACAAACCTCACCCCGACTGACCCATTGTGTTCAGATTAACACTTTGGCATGCATGAAAATCAGACTTGTGGAATTGAATGAGATACTGCAAATACTTATAATTCGGGAGCTTAAGATCCTCCTGCATTAGGAAGTAGGCATGTTGTATCAGTTTGCACTGGAGGACCTGAGCATGAGCGAGAGTTCTGGTCTGTGTGCTCCTACCCCCTTCACAGTACAGGTTACCAGAGCAGCAGCATTGGGGAGATATCTGCAATGAGCCGTGAACGACCGAGTGCTCAGCAGAAAGACAGCGTTATATGGAGTCTGCTTCCCGAAGGATCAGCCTTCCTTGGGACCTTCACCATTAGTAGTTGCGATGACAGAGGGGTGGTACCAGGCACTTACAGCCTCCAGCTTTTTGCTGGTAGAGACTCAATTATGCCATCCGACCAAAGACATAATTTGAGAAGTATTTCTGGGCATGTGCAACTGTGCAGAAAATGTCTTTGTGCTTCAGACTAGAGAAAATGGAGTTGCCATCTGCTGGATATATAATAACAATAAGCACAATTCCATGGACATTTCCTTTTTCCCCCTTTGGGTATGAGTGGTGAAGTATTTGAGTTTTGGCCTTGTCTGTTTTGGTTGGGGGAAGATGAGCAGGAGGCTGGTGAGGGAAATAACTCTTTCAATCAGTCAGTGTTAGCTAAATAATATTTAGCCTTATTTTATCTATTGTCCCTCATTTCTAGTTTTTGGAAAGTTTTTGCTTAGAATCAGAGGCAGGGAAGTGCTTACAACAAGAGTACTATGGGGTGTGTGGGTGGCTCAGTGGGTTAAGCATCTGCCTTCAGCTCAGGTCATGATCCTGGGGTCCTGGGATCGAGTCCCATGTTGGGCTTCCTGCTCAGCAAGGAGTCTGTTTCTCTCTCTGCTCCTCCCCCGCTTGTGTGCTCTCTCTCTCAACTAAATAAATAAAAATCTAAAAAAAAAAAAGTACTATAAGCACTCAATTAGGTTTTGAGGGAGGGAGGTTTGGAATTTTGTTTTTAAGCAATTATAACTTAGGAGGAAATTTTTCATCGTTTATGATTTTATTTATGAGCACAAACTCAACTTGAAATTCAATATACACTTGATACTTCATAGGAAGTGTTAGGTAATAACAGTATGGAGAGTTGGAAGAAGAGGAAGACGTCCTTGGGAGGTTAGGAAAGTGGCATAGGTCGTACATCTCTAGAGACTACTAGACTTGGAATCAGAAAATCTGGCTTCTAGTTGTAATTTTCCATGCATGCCCTCTCTGATCTTAATCAAGTGCATTGATACCTGGATGTAATTAAGATGATATAATCTGGTGCTTGAACTTATGATGGAGACTGAAGAGGAAATGTGTGCCAGTATGTGTATTTCCAAGCCTCCATTATTTTGGTAATTTTCCCCTATGGAAATCATATCTCAAAGAGTATTATCTTAAAGAGGATGTTCTTTTAGAAAAAAAAATTCATTTTTACCATTTCTGTTATATAAAAATTCTGGTTGATATGAGTCTGACCACTGTTAGCCCACCAAGTTCATACAGTTTTATCCAAAAACAAAGACAGTTAACATTTTAGTTAGCCTGCACAGACTCATCAAGAGTAACTATTTGATTTTTATAGTTCAAAGAAAATTACAGTTGGGCGCCTGGGTGGCTCAGTTGGTTAAGCGACTGCCTTCGGCTCAGGTCATGATCCTGGAGTCCCTGGATCGAGGCCTGCATCGGGCTCCCTGCTCGGCGGGGAGTCTGCTTCTCCCTCTGACCCTCCCCCCTTTCATGTGCTTGCTCTCTCTCATTCTCTCTCTCAAATAAATAAATAAAATCTTAAAAAAAAAAAGAAAATTACAGTTTATGGGCCCCAATTTTCTACTTTCATGGACCTCAGATAACTATTTTCTATACAAAATATAATTCTGTGTTATGAATCAGAGTTAATTTTTAATAGAATTGGAGTTAATTTTTAATGCTGAGAAAATCCAATAAATGGAAATGAGACATAACCCATGTCTTTTACAGAAAAGCTTTTTATATGTAAGAGATTTAAAAAACTATATTTGTAAAAAAAAGGATCACTAGTGTTCTCATCAGGTACCTACACCATGTGCCCTCCCGCATCACAGCTTCATGAAATGATCTATCTAGTCCATGGTGATGACAAAATTATTGAAGAACTCTGTCGTTATCTTCTCGTAAGAATGAACAATCTAGAAAACAAAGAATGCCAGGAAATGGACCTGGAAATAGGATTCACATGAAGTGGGGGAAAAGAATTAACATTGGTAGGATTATATTTGCCTGGCTCTCTTTATTATCTCTTTGAATTCCCATAATAACCCTAGAGGGTAATTTCTCCTATTTTGGAAGAAGGGTAAACTGAAGCTCCAGAGGTAATTCATGTGCCTACGCTCTTAGGCTGATTAAAACAAAACAGAAAGTCAACCCAAGCCTTTCTTACTCCAATTCCCATACCTTTTCCACCTTCCTGCTCTCCCTGAGAGCCCACTAGTGGTCACTAATTTCAACAAGCCTCTCTGGCTTCTACAGTCTTCAGATCCCTAGATGGATCTGTGGCATACGCAGTCTTCCATCTTGACTTCGATGGGAGAGCTATAATGTTCAGTTTTATGATCCTAGTGATTATTTCTTAAATATGCATTTAAAGTTATTTTTAAAGAAAAGCATACCTAGCAGTAAGTACACAAATTATAAGTGCCCAGCTTGATGTATGTTCTCAAGCTAACCTACACCCATTTAGCAAGAATGGAAATTGAGAGACAGAATATTACTAACACCTCACAAACCCCCCTCATGCTCTCTCCCAGCTTAAACTCAAGATCAAAGAAGTCAACATCTCCTGGTTTTAGCAGTGGTTCCTGATATTCGGTGTAGGGTATATACACAGAGGCTGCCCATGGTCAGTTCATAGCTGCAGTTTAAGTGCACTGTGTTCTTAATGTTCTTTGCAAATGGAACTAGGAGGAAAACTGAAAAGATCGACCAGAAATAATGAGTCTGCCATCTCACACATTTTTCCCCCAGCACCCTCTATGCCGGCTTATGAACTCGAGACCCCTTTGAATCAGACGGACAACACAGTGACAGTCATGCTGAAGCCAGCACACAGCCGAGGCGCGCCTGTCAGGTACTGAGCAGAGGAGGGGTGGGCTGGCTCCAGGGAGATAGACACTGACATCAAATTGATGAATTTCTTGACTGTGTTTTCTAGGGATTCGATGCAAACAGCAGGCAGCATGTAAACCCATATCTTTATTAGCTCTAATTAAAAGAAATGACTCGGGAAAGGGGATGTGCTTTGATGTGGGGTGTGAGCAAGTATTGTGAACAGAGTTTGATGCTGTTGCAAGTGGGTTGTTCTTTGAAGATACGGAACAAAAGCCTTAGTCTGTTGAGAGGTGGCTTTACTTCTAAAAAGCAATTGCTTGCTGCAATTTAGTTACCCAAGGGCTGATGACATTTTGATCCTGAGCTCTGTTCTTTAAATGGACCTTTGGTTTTTTGCTTGTTTGTTTGTTTACCTGGGGCTTTAAGTCAGTTAACTTTTGGGAAATGGGCTAATCTCTCCATTGAATATGTGGTGTATATTTATTTTTTTAAAAGAAACCAATGATTGGAAAGAGCATTGTGAAGTCTTTATTCAAACATATTTAAGTTTATTACCAACATGTAGGCCCAATTTCTCATCCCATGATGATTTATATAGCTAAGAAATTACAAAGTGTAACTTTTACGGTGAATGAATAAAATAAATTTATTCTTCCTAGGAAGGAGCAGAGGAATGCCTGAATAACTCTTGAGCATGAACTTGTCATAAGCTCATTAATCTATATAAATGAAATTGCTACTTGTTTCAGAAGGATTTAGATATTCTGTACTATCAGAATAGATTCCCTTCAAAATAACCTATTATTCTGAATAGCATACCCCGAGGAAACATTTACATTCCTATTTAAGGCTATATAGGGCTTGTTTCCATACTCCTTGTGTAGAATTTTACTCCATTAACCTTTTGAAACCTGGCTCTATTTGATCATGTTTTCACTATAGTGTCATAGGGCAATCAGTTGGACTTCTTTCGACATGATAAAATATGTACAAGTTTCAATTCACAGAGTTAGCAGTAAAAACAGAACAGCATTTGTTGATAGTAAAGTCCGATTAGGGTGGGATCGCAGAAATTTTTATTTGAAAAATCTAGAAAATTTTATGACACAATTTCTAGTTCACTCTGTTGACTTGACACAGTAGTAAGGGATTTTCCTGTCAGGGATTTAGGACCGCCATTCATAAGTGCAGTCTGTGAGAACACTATGAAATATGTCAAAGCTCTATTCCAAATTTAAGATATTATTACTGCTAGAAAAATGTAGCCACTGACACTACCTAGGCCCTTTGTGTTGACTTGTGTGCAGTACCGAGGGGTTGCCCTAATCCGAATGACCCAAGACACACACTCATTAGACGGCTGGCCAAGATCCGAATGTATCTGTGGCCGTGGGTCAGACGTTTTTCACTCCAGAAAGTTGAAGTATTATTAAATGAAAATTGATGCTCTGACCATGTCCTTGGGAGCATCATTTTCTTGTGACCAATTTAAAAGTGGTCTAGACTCAGCAATGCAGGCTGTTAGGACAGGGGTCCGTGTTCTCCTACCCGAGCATCACAATAAAATGAAAACATACAGCCCACTCATCTTCAAGGCCTCCAAATGGAAGGGATCTGAAATCCTAACCATTTCTCCAAAACAGCCAGTTATTCCCAATTCTATTTTATTCTCACATAAACTCCTTTTTCATTTTCTGTTCTTATTGCCTTTTTCCTTCAAACACTTTCAGTCTGATTTTCGTCCACCTCTCTGTATAGATCTTTTCAAGTCTGAGTTTTCAAATAATATTCCTTTGGGCCACCTATATCAGCCTCCTCCCCAGTTCTCCTTTCCTTACTTTTTTAAAGTGCCTCTTGCATTCCAAACTAGTATTCATATTTTCTAAGCATGCCTTTCAAAGGCATTGTCTTGTTGTTTTCTTTTATACCTTTCTAGTTGTTTTGGGGAGACTGGAGCCTTACCATTTAGTTAATTGTAGATATCCTCAGGCTTTTTATTCTTACGTTATAAAAATACACATTCAAATGCTTGTCAGAGTGTCCAAAATACACAGCTTTGCCACGTTTCACATCATTTCTTAAAGGCCAGTCACTAACTCTGCTAACATTTCAGTATTCGTCATCTAAATCTATGCTGGAATCGAGATCAGTTCTTATGGACAGTATTCAGTAAGCATTACAGGGAAACCCACTACAGGTATCACCTTAATTGGAAGGATACTTACCTTAAATGGGTAAATTTTATTGGCACAAATTTGAGAATGGAAATTATCTTGACCCCCCCAGTCAGAAAGTTGTGGGTTTTTTTTGTCATTGGGTTGGGCGTTTTTTGTTTGTTTGTTTTTTGGGGGGGGGGTTGGCTTTTTTGGTTTGTTTTTAGTTTTTTGAATTTTTTTTGCAGAAAAGTGAATGTTCTTTTCAAGGGATTTGGTGTTACAGTACAACATAATGGGACTGATTATCTATTGAATAGATGCTAGACCAATATATCTAGAAAGACTAGTTTGGAAAAAATGTCCATAATACTCTCAAACTAAATGAGGTATATCAAAATTTTCAATTTCATTTAGTGTTTAGAGAAATGAGAACTCTGATTAGGGAATCATGGAGACCTAAAATATAAAGCCATAATGTAGATTAAAACATTTGAACACATCTGGAAATTTGCAAAATGCACATGTAGTCAAACTGCAATACAAGAAGGCTTTTCCCAAATGATAAGATAAATACTAGAAGAAGGAGGGAAATAGAAGTAAACATCTGTTTGCTTTCCTGGATTTTGCACAGTATTATATGCTCAAAAATACTGACATTGTATGATTTCCAAAGCCAGTTCTTTCAATTGATTTGATTTTTCTTTAATCCATAATCATTGATGTTAAAAATTCAGCCCCACTTCATTTATGCACTTCACTAAGTAAGGTGGTTCTGCATTCATTCCATTACAAACACTTAGCTTGCTTAATGCAGATTCTTAAAATTGCACTAAATGTAAATGATTGCTGTCTTTTTATTGATCAACATATCAGCTCTGTCACATAAAATTATTTAAATCCTGAAATGACCAGGAAGAACACAAATTCCATCATTCTAGCTAGTAAACTAGCACCTAGGAAAGAATTTTAATGTCTGTTCATGGATCCAATTTTTTTTTCTTTAATAAGACAGGGGAAAGCTTAATTTTCTTTTACTCATTTAGAATCCCTTCATTTCTCTCTCTTCTCTCCACTGTTCATTACACGCAGACATAATCCAACAGAGAAAATCCTTGTAATTTGCCAGTAAAATAGCAGCTCTAAATAAAGAATGATTTTTACACAAACTATGTGCTTTTCTTGCACTAACAAAGATTCTCTCCGTGATTTTACTCTCATGATATATGTACTATGTGCCAATGTCCCTCATTAATGATATTTTATAGTCTCATGGTCTACAGCATGAGACTCCTTCACGTTGTTGCGCCTTAGGTGATGATATTTTCAAATGACTCTCATTTTTGTTCTTTAGGCATTGTTGCTTCAATTTATTCATAAATGTTTTGGAGCTATATGTCTTCTTAATTAAAACAGTGCTTGAATATGTTAATTAAACATTCTGATATTCATTTTAGTGAAATGTTAGAAAATTATCATTTTAAGTACTCATTCTTTGATTCATTCATTCAGGAGAAACTACCGAGTGGGGAAAACATCTATTAAGTTGCCTGTCTGTGGGGATGGGAGGTGGGCAACAATCACAGGAACAACCAAAACATTAAAGCTGATGCCTAAACATGCGAATACACTTTTAATGGATGGCAGCCACCTTGTTCTTCTAACAGGTGTAGTCCTAATTATTTTAATGCTGTGCTTTACTGTCACTGGTAACTTCTTATACTACTGATATCTTTGCAATGAACGCTTCCTCAATAGTTATATTTAAAAAGTGAATAGTTCCGGTTGCTGAGAATCAGGGCCACAGTCTTAAAGCAAATAGGAACTTCACTACATTGTGAATCTGGAAGAGATGAGGCCATAAGGAAGAGATGGAAGAAATATTTTGCCTTATTTCTTTAAAGCATTTGTCCTGCTAGGTAAGATTTCAGATGAGACAGGGAATATTTTCTGTTAGTAAAAGGTAGGCATAAATGTTTTATTCATCCGAAACACTTTTGATTTTAAAAAAAGACTTGTACCATATAAAAACTTTAGTTTCATGTATAAATCAAGAATTTATTTTTTTTATATAATATGTTTGGGTTTTTATTAAACAGATTTCACCCTAAATTCATTACTGTGGTAGACTTGACAAATGTGTGCTGTTTTCATTTACTCCTCTTTGTCACTTTTCCCTGATGCTGCTTTGCCTTAGGTAGGTAGCCAGCAAAATGTGTACAGATCTTAAAGCCTCATTGTTCACTTCTAGTATTTCCTGATTTAGCCAAACTACTCATCAAATATTCTTCTGTAACAAATCAGATAGAAAATATAAAAAATGTATTAAAGGATGCTATTTTTTTCTTATAACTGAGCTCTTTGTTGTTTGAAAACTCTATGCTGTGTTCTTAAACCAAGGTGAAGGACAGGTTTTCATTCCATTGAACATAAATAGTCAGTAAAGCAATTGTATTTATCTTAAGAAAATTTGTTAAATTTCCTAAAAATGTTTGATTTGATCCTGGAGCTGTAGGGAAAACGAGATTTGTTCTTTTTGTGGCCAACAGCTTGCACTCATGTTTCCAGCTGGTTACCACACAGAAGTTATTATTAAAGGGATTCAGCAGGAGAATGTCAGGGAGTCTATGAAAACTGCCACCTCAGAGGGGACAGTGAAACAGATCTTTTGACAGTAAAAGCAAGGAAAGAGATCATTATAGTTAATGAATGATAGGAGATAATCATGCGTTTGGTTTTAAGAAGTTTCCTGTAGAAATTACACTTTTTGGCATATAATTAATTTTGGTTTAGGAAGTTTAATATTAGGAAGTATGGACCAAATATTAATTTTTAAAAAGTTATTTTAAGGCAGCGGCACTCCGTT